CGAGACTGTGGAGGTCATCAAGGAGCGTGGCCAAGAAAGACCCACCTACTGGTCTAATGAGCCTGCAAAGGCGGATTTCAAGGGCCACCAATGGTCCGGTCTTTCGTGGCAGCCTATGATCAAAGCAGACCATTTCTCGGATGGCATTACATCCGCAAACCTCAAACGCGGGGACACCCAGCTGGCTGTCTTCAAAGTTAAGGGCAAATTCTATGCGACCCAGCAGATGTGCCCTCATAAGCGTGCTTTTGTCCTGTCCGATGGCTTGATCGGCGATGATGATGCCGGCAAGTACTGGGTGTCATGCCCAAATCACAAGCGCAACTTCGAGCTTAATGGGGAGCAGGCAGGTCGCTGTTCCAACGACGAGAGCATGAACATTGCCACATTTCCGGTGGAAGAGCGTGCTGATGGTTGGGTCTACCTGAAGCTGCCCCCGGTGGACGAGCTGGACTCACTCCTCGGAACAGAGAAATGGAAAGTGAAGAAGGGAGAAGCACCGGACCCATTCCAGAAATATGACAGGAAGTACCGGGGTATCCGTGGGAAGAAGACGGCTGAGAAGGTACCGGCCAATAAGCGGGCGGCGCCATCTGGAGTGATTGATTGGTAGAGGTTGCAAATTTTCGCCTTTGATGAAGTTGTCACGAAGCTATGTTAGATACCTGAGGTTGCCAGTGCGTCGGCTGGAAACTCATGTGCCAATTCTGTAAACTAATGAAGACAATTTGATGTTAACAGCATTAATCCTATACCTACGACAACTTTGCATATAATACACAGAGATTTTGCTGACTGGAGCATTGTTGTAAGGCCAAAGCCTGGATTTTGATACAAGAAACATAAGGAGGAATCATCTCATCCCATTGTACGTAGGGATGCCCGGAAGCTTCCTTGAACGGCAGAAGGGATTTTGTGTGGGCCTTACTGTACGGGGGGTAATTACTGCATAGGTACATACACTTTCGTCCAGTTTTACTCAAATATTTTCTGTGTCTATCATTTTTCTGCTATTTCAAGACTTCGCCTATTTCAAGGCAATTGAATCTAGTACCGTAGCAGGGAGGGACATATTACCACCACAGGAGGTTAGGGTACGAAACATCACGTTTGCGGTTTGTCTAATGTATGGAATGTAATTGGACGGCCAACTGACTGCCGAACATCAGCCCATCGCGTGGTCTGTGCAGGCGGTGGGCTCATGATCTCCACTAAATGCTTTTATCCATGGATCAATCCTGAAAAACAAACTTCCACCTCCCCTATTATCGTCGACACTCCCCCAGTCCCCCTTATCATCCATCCCCTATCGTCCACTCAGGTTCGCTTTACGAACCGTGGCTTGCTCTCTGACAATCTATTTACCTCAGCAATGTATCTTGAAAACCATGAACCAAAAAATGAAAAGGAAAAAAAAATAAAGAAGAGAGACAAAGAAAGAAAGAAAGAAAAATTGGCTTCAGAGCTTCTGACACCGCTCCGAAACACCCGCCTTTTCTGAGTCTCCATCGAGATGGAGACACAATACTCCTCCCATCCACCACGGATGACCATTCAGCAAGGTCGTTTCAGAGACTAGTCGGGACTAATCTGGAGGAGAGACTATAGCCGGTTAGGCAAATTGACGAAAGTCAAGCAACACCAAGAAATCGGGATGATCCATTCCCAGCGAAAATTTTTCTAGCTGCCGATGGAGATGGGCCTGAGGACCGAGGCCCACTTACCGGTCGAATTGGGCCTTGTCACTGCCGTCTCGCTGCTGATACCCTACTGATAGATAACCAAGAAACCTTCCTGACTGTCCTGGGACCTCCGCGGAGTTGTTCTCCCCAGATTTACATCCTTATCAGCCTCAGTATCAGCGCCACGCCTATCAACCAACTCCTTTGCCGTGCAGGGTCCCTTTACCTTATCTCTTGGCCGGTTGAATCACCCTTGTTGGCCACTTCTCGACATGGGGTAGAGAAATGGGTCTGGATCTTCTTTCCATACCACGAACCCTGAGGTCATCTCCGGCTAGTCCTGTGCTGCTGCTGCGCTACCAGCTGCGGTATCCACTACCATATTAGCACTGTCCGACAAGTGGATCACTGCGCGTCGCTCCCCAGATTGGCTTCATGATTTTTGCCTCGATTATGATTTTCCTGCTGCCGCACTGCCCAGTGCCGTTACGAGCTGCTGAGAGATATGCGACTGGGCATGTGTCCTAATCTCGGGTTGACACAGTCATGGCTTTCATCTGTATATCTCCTAGGAGATAGAGATATTGCTCTGGCATGGGGGATTTTTTGCCAGGTGCATCATCATACTGCGGTGCTCATATCTCCATGCTTCGGGGATGTGATTCTAACCATGGTCTATATATGAAGTGCAATTTTCTCCCCCTAGTCTGGATTAAATCTGCCTCCCTTGTCCTACAATACAGGAAAACATCCGGACCCATAGCACCGTCGTTTAGCTTAGCGGTCCGTTGGTCTATTCTCATTTCCACGCCCTGGTGGTGTTGCCTATTGTGGTGCCCTCGAGCTCAATCTATAGTCCTATTACTCTTCTTGTGCCCTGTACTTCGGTTTCAGTTCCTAAACCACCACTCAGACACCTTCGTACACGGTGTGACTGACTATGGACTTCGTCAAACTTCTCTTTGTCTCGCCGGAGATCAACCCAAGTAATCGCAAAGCACAGTCTATTCCTGTTCTCAACCCGTTTGATCGATATGGACGGGTCTTCTTCTTCTCATGGCTCGGGTTCATGGTTGCATTCCTCTCGTGGTATGCTTTTCCGCCATTGGTGAGTGGGAGAGCCTTCCTCCTTGACCAGTATGAAGCGAAATGACTAACACTCCGAGCTTGACTAGTTGACCGTCACAATCCGAAAAGACCTGCATATGACACAGCAAGACGTGGCAAACTCGAACATTGTTGCCCTGCTAGCAACGTAAGACACATACCCTCATATGTGCGCAACAAGCAGTTGACCGATTGTCTAGACTACTTGTGAGATTCGTGGCAGGCCCTCTGTGTGATAGGTTTGGACCGCGACTGGTGTTCATCGGACTGCTGCTCAGCGGTTCGATTCCCACTGCCATGGCTGGTCTGGTCACCACGCCTAAGGGACTGATCGCGTTACGGTTCTTCATTGGGATCTTGGGAGGTACATTCGTGCCCTGTCAGGTTTGGTGCACTGGGTTCTTTGACAAGAAGATTGTCGGAATGGCCAATGCCCTTGCGGGAGGCTGGGGTAATGCTGGTGGTGGCATCACATAGTACGTTGTCGATTCTCGGAAACATTATTGCAAGACATCAACTAATGCATTTTAGCTTCGTGATGCCCGCTATCTACGATTCGCTGGTATACTCGCAAGGCCTCACACCACACAAAGCCTGGCGTGTTGCTTTCATTGTCCCTTTCATCATCATTGTTGTTATCGCAGTGGCGATGCTCTTCTTATGCGAGGACACACCCACGGGTAAATGGTCAGAGCGCCACCTCTGGGCTCGAGAGATGGCCGGCGAGTCAGACGGCAACATTGTCGACCTCAAGGCGGACATGAGGTCCGCACAGCCTTCCAGCACGCCATCTATGACGAACGTCATGGCAGACGTGGAAAAGAAAGGCGCACAAACCCCCGTGTCTCTTGGCTCTAATTCCCAGACCATCGCCGAGTTCGATGCCATCCGAACGGATACTGTGGTGGCCCCCACACGCAAAGAGGCCATGGGGGTACTTTTCAGTCTATCCACCGCCGCCGTCGCCATCCCTTACGCCTGCTCCTTTGGTGCAGAGCTCGCCATCAACTCCAACCTGGGCGAATATTACTCCGCGAACTTCCCCCAGATGGGCCAGACCAAGACCGGGCAATGGGCAGCCATGTTCGGTCTGCTCAACGTCGTCTTCCGACCCGCGGGCGGCTTTTTGGCCGATCTGCTCCTTCGACGAACGCAGAACCTGTGGTCGAAGAAGATCTTGCTTGTGTTCCTTGGCGTCATCATGGGGGCCTTCGAGCTGGCGATCGGGCTGACGAACCCCAAGTCCGAATCCACCATGTTCGGGCTCATCGCTGGGCTTGCGTTTTTCCTGGAGTCGTGCAATGGTGCCAACTTTGCCTTGGTGCCGCATGTCTATCCGTTTGCCAATGGTACGTTCTCGCTGAAGCTGTCTTTTTGATCTCGGGTATACTAACGGATGTGCAGGTGTTGTCTCCGGTGCAGTGGGTGGAATGGGCAACCTTGGCGGGATCATCTTCGCGATCATATTCCGCTACAATGGCTCGGACTACTCGAGGTCCCTCTGGATCATCGGAGCGATCTCGATCGGGGCGAACGTGCTTGTGTCATGGATCCGACCCGTGTCGAAGAAGCAAGTTGTACAACGGTAGAGCGGTTGTTCTGCTTCGAACTGTTTTCTGGTTTTATTGATGACTGGTTTTATGATGGATACCAAGCGTGCACTTCTCTTCTATGATGTTCTTAATCTCGGGGTTACGATATGATATATAACCTTTGGCTTCCCACAGCTTCCACCTGATCTCCACCTCTCCACAATATATATAAGCGTACCTCCCTCACCCTGCAAGTTCGAAGTATAAACCGCAACCACCACAAGCTCCCTTTGAGTAATGATGCCAACCCGAGACCCAGGAGAACCTCACCTCTCCGCCCCACTCACCAAACAACAACCTTGAACAGCAGTATAAACCTCCGCCAAGCCCACTTCACCAACCCGTGAAGATCACCACCCACCACCACCCCTCACGCCACGATTCGGGTCAAAACACCCCGAGCCCTTTAAAAGCTCAATGAACCCCTCCCCCCATCTCCAACAAACAAAACCTCACAACCTTCAATCGCCATAAACCCACCGCCCACCCCCTCCCAATCTCAACCCATCGCAAAGCAACTCACCACCACCACCAGCGACATCTCACCGACCCCGGAATCCCTTCTTCCTCCACCACAACCCCAACCTATACAAAATCAACAACAAACGGACCCTCAAAAATGCCCCCGCCCACCCGCCGCATCGCGCAAATCGTCCACCTCAAACCCGCCGCCGTCGCAGCGTACAAAGAATGCCACGCCAATGTCTGGCCCGAGGTGCTGCGGCAGATCCACGAGTGTAATATCCGGGATTGTAGGTTGTTCCCTTCTCTCTCTCGCGCGCGCGCGCGCTCGCACTCCTCGCTACATACCCAACTACATACCTACATACCTGCCTATCTACCTGCCTACATTACCATGCCACCACGGGAACAAGGCAAAACCCAACAGGAGGAGAAGACTGCCTATCCCCACGCTACACTTATCATATAACCGATTGGGCCAAAGGGTCGACTGACACTGGAGGTTGACCGACGGATTTTAGATTCCATCTTCTTCGACAACGAGCGGACGTTGTTCGCGACGTTTAAGTATATCGGGGAGGATTATGAGGGGGATATGGAGCGGATGCGGGCGAATCCCAAGATGCGCGAGTGGTGGGCGATGACGGATGGGATGCAGGTATGTGGGATTCCTTCTTTATTCTCTCTCCCTAACGGAGGGGGTGTCGGGGTTCGCCGTGTTGACCCTGTTTTGATGGCGTAGGAGAGTCCAATCCCTGGGGCTGTGGGTAGTGCTGAGGGTCCGGGTTGGTGGAAGGTGTTGGATCAGGTGTTTTATACGGAATAGATTAGAACCACTAGAAAGAAAAAGTTCAGCAAAGCATCATTAGATCTTTATGTAAGATATATGCAAGCTGTTTGAATACAAATCTCAAATCTTGAGGCTGGGCGAGAGATCCGATGCGGATGTCCAATGAGGTACATAGTATCCCCCTATAGCCAGCAAGAGACAGTGATACAATTCATGCGAAGATGGGTATCTTTCCGCGAAAATAATCCAGTAAGTAACACGTGCTCCTCCAGAACGCCATTTGCAATGTCATGTGCTTCGAAAAAAAAAAACAGCCGATAACCAAGTCGTCATCGTCATAGCTCAAGCATACCGCCAGGGTACGGAAGCTGCCGTGTTACTTCACTCGGAACCGCCGGGGACATCCTTCAGGATCTCCCATCCGTATTCCTCTTCTGGCTTCTCGGGCTCCATCCCGAGGGCGTTGCGGTAGGCACGCACTTCGTTCTGGAGGCCAGCCACGATGCGGATCGGGGTTTCCTCTTCCTCACAGCGCAGGCGATAAGCGGTGCGGATCATTTCGGCGCATTTCATGGTCTGTGCATGCCAGTAGTCCCGATCCAATCGACTTTCCAGGTGGGAGTCCCGCTCGGCTTGGAGAAGGTTGTTGTAATGACGTTTCTGCGCGAGATAGTGAAGGTTGTTGTTCTGGCAGTAGTTGCGAATCTGTTCCACCATAACACCCACGGCCGCCTCGTATTCTCCAATCAATTTCGTATTTTCCACCTGCTCGTTCCGAAGGATTTCAACGAGACGTTTCTCTTTCGCGAGAGTGCGCTCAAGTTCCGCAATGCGGGCAGCTGGGCTCATTAGTATGGTGCTCATGTATCGGATGGTCAGTTCACCCACCTGAAAGTTCGCCATTCACTTGCTGAATGCTCGGGCTTACTCCTTCGGCAGAAGAGCGTTTCTAAGACCGTCAGCAATGTGAAGCCCATTTTCCAGGTGAAAAAATCATACCATGATCTCCTCCGCACTGTTGACAATACTCTTTGTAGTCTCACGGTTGTTCTTCAACACCTCACTCAACTCAAGGACCATGTCGTAGAGATGATGAAGATCCATCTGCTGTCCCGCATTGATGGGCATACCACCGTTCATCCCAGGCATTCCGGCGCCATTAACCTGACTAGGGGTATGTGGCATGGCAGGCGACATAGATTGACGAGGAACATTGGACATGTTCGGGCCACCTCCGGTGTTATCCACGTAGCCGGCGTACATGTTTGCGCCGGGATTGTTGCCAGTCATGCCCCCAGCGTTGTTCAAGGACATGCTTGCCGCCTCGAAAGCGCGGTTCAAGGCTTCAAATTGAGGGTCTCGGGCGGGATTGGTAGATGCGGGGAGCTTGAGATCGTCGTCGAATCCGAATCCTGGGCTCTCTACGCCAAGGACTTCTTTTCGAAATTTGTCGAGGTCGCGACGAGTAACGTGGGTGGAACGACGACGATGTCCACGGACAAAGGCTGCCTTGGAAACAGACGGGGTTGTGGACGCGTTGGTGGTGCGGCGGACTGGAGAAACGGGTTCACTCTTGATCTTTCGGTCGGGTGGAATCAATGGGCTGAAATCGGGAAAAGAAGAGAAGTCAAGTGTTGGAAAAGCGACCGCTGCAGATACAGAGGCAGAGGCAGGAGCTGAAGCCACAGACGAAGAAGCTAGATGAGGTTGGCGATTGTGGCCGTCGTCATTGCGCTCCGTGTTGTTCACTTCTCCCGGTGTTGAGCCAAAAGGGTCAAGCGCCGGAGATCCGGAGAAATTCATCCGAGCACTAGCCCGGTTAGCGCCATAACTGGGGGCGGTGAAGACATCGGCTTCTCCCATCTTGGACGATTCATGAATGGGCTGGGGGCTGAGGTAGAAGCACAGGCACACGCAGGGTCAGGCACATGGGGAGTTGAGTGAAGTTGAAGATAATTGTCAAGGGTGTTAGATGAGATGAAGGAGTAGGCGTAGCACAGTAGAGTTAATACAATCTCCGAAAGAAGAGAGGAAGAAAATAAGAAGTAGGAAGAAGGAAGAAGGAAAAGCAAGCACAAGCACAGCAACAAGCAGCAAGCAGCAGCAGCAGCAGCAGCAGCAGCAGCAGGTGCGGCCGGGACCTGCACAAATAAGAATAAACAACTCAACAACTCACTTGCTCACTTAACTGGCACCTGCGGTAGTTGATGCAACTGTAGTTCAATCGTTGCCTTGCCCCCTTGCACCTTTCCAGAATTCTACCAAACTGCATTGGAAACTTTCTCCCCCTAATTTTAGACAGAAACAACGGCAGGTCCAGTGATTGGGATCATCTTGCTGATGAGGATTGTCTAGGGCAATCTGATCCATGCAGCTGTGCTACCAGTCTCGGCCGCCGTACCTTTTCCGGGGAAAACAAATAGACAAATGGTATTTATGTAAGTGCAGCCTCTAAACATGTGGTCCACCGGGTTCTCTTAATTCTGTGGTTTCTTGTTTTGATTTTCTTCCTTTCTTTTTTAACAATTTTTGTTGTTCTGTTTTCTCCCATCCCCATTTGATCTGCCAGAGTTCTTTCATTCAGTCATGTCCAACAAGGCTTCCAACTTCTCATCCCCTTCTAGCGAGAATGAAGCGTCCTGCTCGTTATTGTTAAGCTTCTTCTTGCCCTGCTCAATCCGACCTCCTACGCGCGCAACCAGCATCCGCATTTTGTCCAGCTCTTGAACCAACTCCCCATCTCTTGTGACCAAATTCGGCTGGATGTTAGCCTGCGGGTTCTGGAAGGGCTCCAGTAAGCGCTGTAGCTGTCGCAGCTGGTTCAACCGCCGCTGTCGCTGTTGCCGGCGACCGTCCAGGGCGAGCAGATGTTCGCGTAGCTCTTGGTATCTGTACTACTGTTAGCCAGGTGAAATTGAAACCTGCTATAGATGTAATCCATACCTTGTTCGGTCCTCGTCACTCGCACTCGGATCCTCCAGTTCCAGCGGCAGTTGCGCAATATTCCTGGGATACAGTCAGACTGTCAAACTCCAAAAGGTCTTGTCTCGTAGCCGAGAGAATCTGAGGCGGAGCTCACAGGTGGTTGGATAAATCCACAGATTGTTCCACCCCTTGGAGCAAAGAGCCCCGGTCGCGCATCGATTCATTCACGGAGGACCAGTAAAGACGTGCGATTTGCTGTGCGACATGTTGAATGGCCTGGGACGAGTAAACGATCCGACTGTGCTGTTTCAGAGACGCATTGACTGTGGCCGAGTCAGTCCTGACCAAATCAAGATAGGGGCAATATCTAAAGTGAAAGCAGAAAATCAACCTGTTGAATCGAGACAAATACTCACATTTCTTGAGAGCATCTCCGACCACCTTATCGCTCAGCTCATCCTCGGTGGACTCAGACGCATAATGTCGCCAATCCTCGGGCGGCTGGAGGCTTTCAGACAAAATGCGCACTTGCGCTCGGATGAAGGACGACTTCAACTCGGAAATGGTACGGGTCGAGTCCATGGCCCCATAATGACGATGCGTCGGTGATTTGGAGATAGGAGGAGATTCAATTGATTCTCGCCGTCGACGCGTGCCGCCTTCCTATCGATAACGCGGCCACGTGATCCTTTGCGACTCACCCTTACGACCGGATGATCAAACATCAACTCCTTGCATTTATTGCATCCTCAGGATGTCTGCAGACCATCTTGCAGCTCAATATAGTACTATGCAATAGGCATCCGCCACCTGGGAGCCGAGGTGATACCCCAACGGGACTGGTTGGCATTGATCGATGAGAAAGCGCCATTGCAGGTCATCTATCTAACCTCGGCAATCTGGCATTACTCCGCAGGAGAGACTATCAGTGTCCAACATGATCGGCAGCGCATTCTACATTTACTGACTTGACATTTGTTGAACTTCTGATGCGACTTCCGTCCACTTACATGAAGCTGCGCTGAGTTGCACAGATTCATCATGTCAGACAACCAACGACCTAGAGGCCTCCTGTTCGACATCGGAGGAGTGTGTGTAAGACCCGAGGCACCTCTCCAGGCAGATCCGACATCTGAACAGCCAGATACTAATGATCAGTAGGTCCTCTCCCCCTTCCAGGCCATTCTGGACTACGAACTTGCCCACAACATCCCCCCAGGATGGGTGAACTTCAGCATCTCGCGTACTGCGCCCAACGGCAGCTGGCACCGACTAGAACGAGGGGATATCAAGATGGACGCCGACTTCTTTGCCGGGTTCCAGAATGACCTACAGAACCCGAGTCTCTGGAAGCAATTCCAGGAGAAGATCCGGGACAAGAACCCGACCGGGACGCAGTCGCCCACCCCTCCGGTGCCTAAGATCGATGCCGAGTTTCTGTTCTGGGAGATGATGAGGGTATCGCGAACGCCGGACCCTCATATGTTTCCGGCCTTGAAGAGACTGAAGGAGTCAGGGCAATTCATCTTGGGGGCTCTGTCGAACACCGTCATCTTTCCAGACGGACATCCGTACAATCGTGATCTCGACGAGAGGAAAAGCCAGTTTGACTTTTTCATATCATCGGCACATACAGGCCTTCGGAAGCCGGACCAGAAGATCTATGAAGCTGCACTGCGGGATATGAATCGAATCGCCAAGGAGAAGGGTCAAGGCGAGGTGCACGCAGTGGATGTGGTCTTCCTCGATGACATAGGGGAGAACTTGAAGGGTGCAAAGAAGGCAGGGATGAGGACTTTGAAGGTGAATCTTGGGCGAACGCAAGATGCTGTTCGAGAGCTGGAGAAGATGACTGGTCTCCAGTTACAAGCAGGTTCAGATAAGGCGCGACTATAGAGGCTGGTTTGACCTGCGGTTGTTGCCAACACTTTTAATTATTACTGCAAGTATAATCTTCTGTGGTAGAGTTTCGAGGTAATTTATTTGTCAAGATTTGTTAGAGTAGACTCTACAATCAATTTGAGCCATTGAATCAACTTATTGCACATTGGTAGTGCCATTGGTAGTGCCATTGGTAGTGCACATTGGCATACTGTTGGGGTATACTTGGTGTTCTCTGTACAGTAAAGTGGCCAAGCGGCCGCCCGCTCGTCGCCAACCGCAATTCCTGGCCGGGATGCAGGCAGCGCTAAGCGAGGCCTTCCACAAAGTCAGCCCACGAATTTTCCCTCCTTCTTCCTTTGCAGCCAACGTCGACAACTCGGTCCTCATCACCCGGTCACCGTCAAAATGGTGAGTTAGACCTCGTTCTAGCACCCGAACAATTCGATATACGATTGTTCTCGACTGCTCCTTCATCTCCAAATGGGATTTCGATTTTCCCACCACCCCCCGCCTTAGCGGGATTTTGTGGGATGAAATTTCGGGTCTTTGCAAGATGCTTCGGACAAGTCGGATTTCCTTCTGAAGCGCAAATTGCTGACTCGCTTGTTTTCGTGATCTAGCCTTTCCACAAGCAGGTCAAGAACAGCGCTTACTACAGGTGAGTTAATTTTCTGGATTTGCCGGTCGCATTGGCTGAGATACTAATTAATTCCATAGCCGCTACCAGACTAAGTACCGTCGTCGCCGTGAGGGTAAGACCGACTACTATGCTCGTAAGCGCTTGATCACCCAGGCCAAGAACAAGTACAACGCCCCCAAGTACCGCCTGGTCGTCCGCTTCACCAACCGTGACGGTATGTCTACTCCGCTCCAATCGATCTACATGGGAAACGAATTCTGACTGACTTCCGGCACAGTCATCTGCCAGATCGTCTACTCCGAGATCTCCGGTGACAAGGTTTTCGCCGCTGCCTACTCCCACGAGCTCAAGCGCTATGGCATCACCAACGGTCTGACCAACTGGGCTGCCGCCTACGCCACCGGTCTCCTTGTCGGTCGCCGTGCCCTCAAGAAGCTCAACCTCGACGAGACCTTCACTGGTGTTGAGGAGGCTGACGGAGAGTACACTCTCACCGAGGCCGCTGAGACCGATGATGGCGAGCGCCGCCCCTTCAAGGTCGTCCTCGACGTCGGTCTTGCCGTGAGTTTTCCCGGATCTCACTTGGCTCTTGAACCAAGCTAACAATTTATCATAGCGTACCTCCACCGGTGCCCGTGTCTTCGGTGCCATGAAGGGCTGCTCTGACGCTGGTGTCCTCGGTAAGTTCCCGCAACCGTGCCCAACAAAATCGACCCCCGTGCTAACGAAATCCCATAGTCCCCCACTCCGAGTCCCGCTTCCCCGGTTTCGACATCGAGTCCGAGGAGCTCGACGCTGAGACTCTCCGCAACTACATCTTCGGCGGTCACGTCGCTGAGTACATGGAGGGTCTCGCCGACGACGACGAGGAGCGCTTCCGTGGCCAGTTCCACAAGTACACCGAGGCTGGCATCGAGGCCGGTGACATCGAGGACCTCTACACTGAGGCCCACAAGGCCATCCGCGAGGATCCCTTCAAGAAGGACGAGGATGCCGACTCCAAGAAGACCAAGGAGGAGTGGAAGGCCGAGAGCAAGAAGTTCCGCAAGGTCCGCCTCACCCACGACGAGCGCAAGGCCCGCGTCGAGCAGAAGATCCGCGAGCTTGCCGCTTAAATGGATTTTTGTTGTGGAGGCCATTCGTGCTTGATGCATGCGTGAAGTGCGATAGTCACAAAACAAAAGTTGAAATATCCTTTCTAACACAAATCCAAAAACGGTGACCTGGGTGTCTTTCTTCTTGCTAACTGATTTCTCGAATTTGTGATATCCCCAAGTAGTCTGATTGGAGACTGTTGCCACGACCGGAGTTATTTTATTTTTGTCTATTGTCCAAGGTTTATTCGGAGCAACCACGTCCTTCAATGCGATTCTCTTTCCCATTTTCAACAGCCCTCTCTTTATCTGCTCCGATGAACCGCGTAGCTGTAGCGTGAAAGGATGTACCGTACCGAGTAATGTTAGACCAGTGCCCGTGGCACTGACAATGGTTTCCTGCATGAATACCTGACTTCTTGATGATGGTCTATTCAATGGACGGAGCACATGTACTACTGTACATCATTGCCTGCTAGGAAACACAACGCTCCGCTGCAGCCATTGATTTCATGCAATGCTCTTCGGCAACCTTGAAACAAGAACGACTGCGGCAATCGCAGGGTACAGTGACCTAACGTTATAACGAATCCCGATTAAGCGAATTTTTACCGTATAACGAATTTTAGAACCGCCAGGTTGGTTCTACCATACAACATCCGGTGTATGACCTTATAACGAAGTTCGTTAAACTTATTAGCCGCTGTATACAATATCCGTTATATCTACTGGGTATAATTACCTGATTAAGAAATTTTCAGGAAACTTTTAGCAGAAAATCTAAGAATTCAATAATACTTGCTTGGTCAGTATGCTTCTCAAGCTACCCATGTCATTTGAAAAATCTTTTGCATACATTCAATAAAATGAATATCTCGATATAACGAACAAAAGGGGCCGTCTCAGTTAGTTCGATATATCGTGAGTTTACTGTAATCCCCGGAGCGTACTGCCGAATCTGGCAGATTCTTCGAACCCGCGGCCGCCCTAGCCGTCAATCCCCTGGGCCCGTCCGTCCCGGCCGGCATTGAATTCTCCTCGTCTATTTTCGGATATACGGGTTCAGATTGAGTGCCGGCACCATATTCCGACGACATCAGGGGTTTCATATCCAGAACTTACGGCAATCGGTACGGAAAGAAGTTCCAAAAATGCCTCAAATGGAGCATGTAAGGTACTGTACTGGCGGGACCGGTCTAATCACGATCTATATCCGAGACTCACAGGTTGCTGCTATTCGTTTGACGACAAGATCCATGGCTCAGGAACTCGTGCCTTGCCAATCTACCGCCGTCGACGAGTGCCTTGCTCTTCTCCATTGCCTCCAAGGCTTTATCATACTAGTCTAGATCCCGCACCTTCCGGGTCGCGAAGGCCTCGAGCTCTTCCGCGTTGTCGGATTTTCTCTCGCGCCTCGCCCATTCAGTGAGTCCTAGGTGGCGGCGCAGTTGGGTGAGAGGAAATGAGCGATGGTCATTGAAGCCAAAAGATAGAAGCATGTGCAGCCATATGGCCCTAGAGCCTCGCGACCACTTTACCAGATTGGAAAGCTCTCGCTCATCATGCCCTGGCATTTTCGCTTCCTCCTCCTCCAACATGTCTATGAAGATGTCTAGGCATCTGAAGCAGCAGGCGGCGATCTTGGGCGGCTCCTCAGCGTTGAAGTCCTATGTGCTGTTGACGGGCCTGTCTTGGAGAAGCCGCCACGGCACCGAGCCGAACAGCTGCGCGGGTCCAATGTACGACCACTCGAGGTCTATTACACCGACAATAGTAAGATCTTCTCTGCCACGGACGATCAGGTTCGCCAGACCAAGATCGTCGCAGACTAGCTTAAATTTGCAGCGGTCATACTTGGTGTTGACCAAGTCAGGTATCAGTGCTCGTAGAACCTTGAACGCCAGGTATTTGTTTTTCGCATCGTAGAAGCCAACAGTTGAGTTTGGCTTGTGGATGAGCTGTTCCCAGTCTTGGTCGGCGACATATTGAAACTACTCCGTCGTTGTCGCAAATCCTTGGGTTCGGTCACCTGAACATCATCCATCGCTTCTTCGTTAATGCACTCTTTCACAGGTTTCGGGGTCCAAAGTCACGGGTAAGGCAAGGCGACCAGGCATACCGAACGTGTTCACCCCGCCATTTTGCAGAATGCTATGTGCCTTGAAGGTTAGCGGTCGTAGCAGTGTAGGACTTTGGGTGTCAGCCTGCGGCGACGGCAGACTGCCAATCTGGTCAAAATCGAGCTCGACAAGCTGGAGCATGAAATTCGCCAGTTGCCTATAGATGATCTCGAGATCACGATCGCTAATGTCCTCCCGCATCACTCTGGTGGGGCACAAGGCGTTAGGGGCTTGGAGAAGGTGGCTGAGGCCCACGCCGTGAATGAAGTCCATGATGGTGAACGGGCCGAGACCGAGCGGGTTGCTGGTAGCGGGCCCCCACGCGTGAACTTTCGGCACCGGGATCGTAGTGCTATTGTGGATGAGGTTCAGCGCCGTAACCTCCACGGCAACCTTCTCGTCGATGAAGTCGTTGCAGACCTTTCCTACTCGAAGGAAACGGACCATCCAGGCAGCGCCGTGGTGAAAGGTGCCATCCAGTTGACAGGGAAGCTGTTCGGGGTGAAAACTCGACACCCCCGCGGCAGAGATGTCCTGTTCTGTAGGTTTCGTTCACCTTGTCGACCCAGAGCTGGCCCTGCACCTCGCAAATGAGATCGACAAGTGTGTTAGTATCCATGGAGAAGATGTCATTGCTTAGATGGCAGGTAGATGACTAGAGGGGGGAGATGTGGTCAAGCGACGCATGAGGTGGGACGATACGCTAATGCATGCATGCATGCTGAGGATTGCTCCATGCTCTTGGTATACTTACCCCGGACGCCGGATACTTGAAAGAGACTCTATTGAGCACATTAAGTAGGAGGTGATCTACTGCTCTATGGAGTAAATAGTATGTGACTCGCATTTGCAGAATGGAGCTGATTGCTGCTCAGCCCTGAGACTGAGACATACCCTACTGTAAATAGTAAGTACTACTATTTCGGGTAGTTTCTCCCCACATCATCCATCGGGCAAGTCTACACTAAGTTCACTAACTCAACGGCCACCAGAAGAAATTTTCTTCTCTTGAGTTCTTTCCTGATGCTCGGCGGTGCCGCCGTTCCCTGGAGAAAAGCTGCCTGCCCCGGTGGAGTACTTCAATTATACACTGCCTACTCGCTCACTTGGCACTTCAAACTCTCCCCAATATGATGGGGGATCTTCTTCATACACTCCCTTGGATCTTCTTCTCTTTCCTCCCCCTCCTCCTCCCCCTCCCCTTCGTCATCCGGCCATACCATGCCTAATTTTGGTTCTGGTTTGATATGTCTTGTACCTGATGTTGACCCTTCTGCTGTGGGCTCTATTCCTGCTGCCTTCGGCGCAGGCCGCCTTCGTCCGTCGTTGGGATTGCAATCCTTCCATTACTGCACCCACTGAGTCCATCAGCTTTCAGCATCAATCCTTAACTGGATCCCTGGTTAAGCCAGAGCATGATGGCCCGACCCTACTCCTCAAGCTAACAGGAAATTATGAAGCCGAGTGTAACTCTCTCAATGGGTCCCTGGCACAGTTGGTGGTGAATGCAAGTGTCCTGGGCGGTCCGGTGGGCTTTCAAGGAGAAAGTAGTGGAAGATGTGGTGAAGACCCTTATTGGGAGCGCTTCAGTATGTCGAACCAAGGCCAAATACAGGGCCACTTGATGGGAAGCCTTCACAATTATGCCATTTACGAGACCTCCTACTACCTCAACCACTCCTATGCCCTGCACACACTAGACACAACCATCCACCTGTGGTTGGATGGCCAAAAAATAACTTGTGTCACTGCACATATCACGCCTTATATCGGCCCAGTGACATCAATTTTATTGAAAGCTCTTCCATTCTTGATTATGGTCTTGTTTGGAATAGCTACAGGACCGCTCAGGCTCTTTCATACAAATGGAAGAAGCATGTTTCGGTACGAGCTGGCCGACCCATCCCGAGACCCAGCCCAATCCCACGTACAAGGACTAGGCGATTGTCTGCAATTTCTTCAATTCATCTTCTTGACCAGCTGTCTGACGCTTTCATACCCGGGCTTCTTCCGAGCAATCGTCGGGGAGTTGGCCTGGTCGTCGCTCATCTTCCGCAATTGGCCTGTCACACATGGATTCGCCTACCCTGGTGTTCAGGATGGTTTCTATGCCACTAATTCGACTTGGGGCTTGGAGGAGATGACGCAGGTCCTGGGTGGGACTACCATCAGTGATATCTGGGTCAATGCGATTGTTAATCTTCTCCTCGTCATCGTGGGGATCGTGGCGCTGGTGCAAGTTCCTTTCGGATTCCAATGGGCGTCGAGGATTTTTCGGAAGCGACAAGCGATTGAGCTGTCGGACCTTCAAGAAGAGTCATTGACTCAATGCCAGCGTACTGGATGGAGTATTCTTCGAGCGGTGCTCGACCATTTCCTCTTTCCGCTGGTAACCTTCTCTACGAGTCAACTCCTCCTAACATCATGGTATCCGGCCTACCGTACCTTCTTCGCGGTTTTGGTTGTTGGTCTCCTTGCTATGTCCTTAGGCTTTACTGTGCGGTATCTGATCAAGACCAACAGACAATGGGCCTTTTCTCAAGGAAGCTTGTTTCCCAAGCATTATTCCGGAACGTGGGTTTCCTGTGTCTTGTACGGCATTCCGATTGTAAGAGGTATAGCGATCGGGGCATTGCAACGATCGGGCCTTGCCCAGGTTGTAGTTCTCATCATATGTGAGACGCTCAATCTTGTCTGCCTGCTTTGGAACTGCCAGGACTTTTTAGCCTGGCGACCTGCCTGCTTTTCGTTTGGCAGGCTTGCCAGCCTTGTTATGAGCTGTGCCTTCCTCCCGCAGTCTGAGGCACCCCAACGCAACCAGGGTATACTGGCATACAGTATTCTATTCCTATATGCAACGATGATGTTCTTCGGGTTTCTCGTCCCTTGCATCATAAGCATAGCGCTCTTTATACTTCGCAAAGCGGGACTCGTGCACTCCCATCGTGGCCCCCTCGTGCAGCCTCGAGAAGCACCGGTATGTGGATGCAATTCAGACAATCAATAACTAGCCCGAATGACTAATGGGTCTTTTCCTAGATTTATGGCATTGGTCAACTTTCGCAACGATCAACGCGGAAGACTTCATTCACGGAGCTTCCAGAGCTTCGCCCCGTGGGTGTGTATCGTCCGAGCATGGTATCTTGGCGACCGTGATATGCTAATGAAGGCCACCTCAGCCTATCCTCAAACCACAGGGATACCGAGCACGAATGAATTTCCATCGTACTTCCGGGCTCCACGGCCCATGACTCCCGTTTCTTCGTCGTCGCACCATTTCTCCACCCTCCCAAGGCAGTCTCACAGCTCGGATGAATTGGTGGATTCCAGCATGGACTCTGTCGACTTGAGCATTCTGGACGAAGACACGACGACGATCAGCGGCGACGGCGATTATTCCAGACGCGAGGCCGACCAATACTACGGTCGGCGAGTGGCATCGCAGATCAATGCTAGGGTAGAACGAACGGAAAACACCTGTGCCACAGGGGAGGACAGATCCTGGCGATTGTCGTGGAAGTCGAAGAAAAAGACCAAAGGCTTCGAAGTTGTGAGGCCTGCCCGCCCTGGGATGTGATGCATGCTTTTTGAACCTCACTTCGAAATTTGGAATAATAATAGCTTGCGATATAATATAGAGATAAACCTTACACTTTGTTCGAATTTCTCCGTCTATGATATAATGATCAAGGCTTGGCTGAGGCGAGAATAAGCAACACTGATAGAGTTCGTCCTACCTGGGAATCCCAGGGCTGAATCCGCCATGGGAGCCCTGTCGTCATATGTGGAACGAAAAGTTAAATTGTTGTTTTTATTCATATCTTGCATCAATGGACCCGTTCAAGGGCTATTATTATTGACCTGTGTCAATAAGCTTTTCTGCAGCTGCAGCTTGTTGACCGGGTTGCTTTTGTTTGATGAACAGGCAAGCATTCTTCTCATCATAGCCACTCTTTGAGGTACAGCGCATACCTACAGTATGGCACCCAACGGAAGGTCTCATTGGTTGTTGAGGTGGGCGACACTTTTGCTTGATTGTTAGCTACATGCCTAGTACCGAGTAGTTATGCAAGCGACGAGGGTCAGTTGTTGTCAGCAGCTGAATGAATGACTTCATGACGCAGAGCGGGTCGCGTGCAAAGCACATGATGTATCTGTAAATAGATTTTCTCAGCTTGTGAGGTGACTTGGTCATGTGCCCGGGAGGTACATAGTACAAAAATTGAGAACGGGTTTTAGTGCGGATCTGATAGGTCGAGGAAAGAGAGAGGATGACCGGGCAGGCAAAATGCGGACAGCGCATATGATGGTGGGTAACAGACCAACAACATATTCATATGAAGAAAGGCTGAACTCGTACTTTCCATGTGCTGTACAGTATACAATTGAAAGAGTCAAATCAATTTCTTTTGCTCTCTCTCTCTCTCTCTCTCTCTCTCTCTCTCTCTCTCTACCTTTCATCCTAATGTGGGTTCCCAATCCATGAAATTGGTCACACTGTTGTAGAATACTACGGTGGGTATTGTATGGTCAGGCTTGGCAGAGTGACGAGGGAAAAAAGGCAAGGGTGGCAAGCAACTTGAATGAATGGGCGATGAATGGGTCTGGTCTCCGTCATCGGCCGTGGCTGCATAATACGAGGGTTACGAGGTTTACAAACGATCCCGTCCAGACTGCCAGCCCAGCGGAGTTGGCCCAATTACTACCAAGTTACTAGTAGTTAATCTAGTACCTTCGTTAAGTTACTAACCTTTATTCTTGACCTTACTACTAATCAAGTAACGTTGGTTAGTTACTTTTACCTTTTACCACCCGTGACCTTTCCATTTCCATGTACTTCCATGCCTTTTCTTCCATCCGCCAAGTAATAGCACAGAAGAGGGAAAGAGAAAGTGACAAAAAGGAAAAGAAAAAAAAAGAGTAACATAACAGAGCGAGGGAGAGAAGAGACCCAAGGAAGTGAAGTAGAGTAAAGAACTCGAGTACTGAGTATTGTTCTCCTTTTCTCCACCGACTAATGGATAATGGATAACCATGCGACTTTCCTAGTCTAGTCTCTAATCGGCGCCCCTCCCCCGATCGCCTCGTTCTGTGCCCGCAAAGTCCGCACCTTTCCTGTTCTTCCTTAAACTACCCCCGTCTCCATCGTCCCATAGATTGATATTCCCTTCGCTTCCTTCACTTAACTTGACTTTCTCTTCCCTTCCTTGTCCACTTTACCTTCCCCTCCCACCCCCTTTTACTATTTTATGAGTCCTCATATTACACTTCTCCTTTAAATGCGCGATTTATCTCTGATCCGCCTCACGATCGCAACTGCGTGACAACCCCACACCGTCCGTCAGCTCCGTCATGTCCGCTGTGTCTCGCCGTCATGTCATGATGGAACTTACCCGCCGTCGCCGTTCATAATTGACTACATACTGATCTGCATTGCGCATTCCTCGGCTTTTCCATCGTTCCACCGTCGCTCCAGCATTCTTCGACCATACTTTGACTGCCTTTTTGAACGACCATTGCCACCACATCGTCTCTTTTTTGTTGTTGTTCGACGGGTGGTGCTTGGGTTCGAAGTTCGCAGGTGCAGCCTCTCAAATAACCTCTCCACCGAATCCTATATCTGCTCTATTACGTCACACTCAACCACACTCGCAACAACACAAACGCACCGGTGGTCAAAATGGAAGGGGTGGAAACTGTGGATGTCAGCTGGCTTCATCACTCGCAGAAAGGTGAGTCCGATCGTGTATACTGGGAGCGCGTCTTTCGCATGCAATGTCATGTCTGTGGAACTCACCCCAATCTCCGACGGCAGACCATCTATCCCGCTGCAAATCGGCCTCATCCCTGGTCAGCGATAAGTCGATACCGGACGGACGAGGAGCGACTCCTCCGCCACAACAATGTGACGCGGAAAAGAAGCCGCCTCCAGAGAACCATGCCCCGTCTCCTGCGCCCGTTTCCACAGCAGCACCACCCACTACCAGTGTGGGCTCGCAGAATGAGAAGGAGGTCAATAAAGTAAATGAAAAGGCGGTGGCGGTGGATGCGAAGCCGACCGGTGCCTCGCCTGCCTCGCAGCAGCAGCAAAAAAGTGCCCCGCGCCCAGTCGGGGGCAGGCGAAACTCGTGGATCTCCAGCCTGAGCTCGAGATTTTCCTCGGGCTCGACGCCTCCCTCGCAATCGAACCTGAAAGCACCGCCAAGCACAAAAGCGACGTCCCCCGTCTCCAAGATGGATGCGCACAACCCGTTCGGTGCAGCGTACTCGCCCAAGGATAAGGAGGAGGAGCGCAAGGACGAGAATAGCCCTTTCGCCTCCACCTCCCCAAAGGGCCCCTCTTTCTTGTCGAACGCATTCCGGAAGCTTTCTTCCTCGGCCGGCGGATCGGGCAAGTTGGCCACCAACGGGACCATTTGTCCGCGTCGGGTAATGAACATCGACCAGGATCGGGATAGGTGTAAGGTTGCCGATCTTAACCAAGCGAAGTTGCGGCGCGTTGCGTTCTGTGTCGACGTGGAGATTGCGGGGCTCTCGTATCGAGAGTCGGATGAGGAAGCCCCCGCGGTCAGTAGCAAGCATCAGATCGTCCCGGAATTGAATGGCCCAAAAGTCAAGAGATCGAATTCGAAATCGAAGGATAAAAAGGACAAGAACGAGACTACCCCGGCAAAATCCGCACAAGCTGCAGTGTCCGTCAAGGAAGGGAATGCTCCGGATCAAGCTGTTAATAAAAAACCCACGGGTTCGACTGACACAGCCGCCACCGAATCAACGCCCAGCGGGGAGAGCAAAGAACCGACCAGGAAACAGGAGAAGAAGAAGAGATCAGAGGAGGAGCGCAGGGAGCGGAGAGAAAGGAGGCGGAGACAGGCAGAAGCTAATGGCACAATCCCTATGCAATTGACAGCGGACGGCGAGGAGTACGGCATTCGGACACCTGCGTCTAGCACAAGTCTTCCCAGGACACAAAGTCACCCGACTACGGATCCTGTTCGCATCTATCGGCGCTGTTGCCAGTTACGTGAAACGCCTGTGCTGAAGAGGATAGTGGATGAGATATCCAAGCCGTCTTCTACTCTGGCGGAGTCTCCGGGCACCGTGGCTGTGCTTGACCTGAGCAATTTCCCAATGACAGCTGAGGACATAGCTACGTTCTGCGACTGGCTGGCTGTCGTTCCAGTTCGAAAGCTTATTCTGGAAGAGTGTGCCTTGACGGATGATCCGGTTCGGTCTATTCTTGCTGCTTTGCTCTCCACACGGACGGTTGAGCATATGTGGGGCAAACGCAAAAGAGGCAACAAATCAGAGGTCCAGTCTGTGGAAAAGGAAGAGAGGTTCAGCGTCATTGAAAAGTTGTCACTAAAGGGCAACCCCAAAATTGGTACGGAGGGATGGCTTCATATCTGTCTTTTTGTCCACCTTTCGAAGTCCTTGAAGGCCATTGATCTCTCTGGCATCCCACTTCCCCGGATACCTATTCCTATCACTTCCTCCGGGAAGTTGGCAGTCCAGCCTGGGAACTGTACAACAGCCTCCACCGAGTTGACAGCTGTCTTTGCCAACGCGCTCGCACAACGGTACGGCGGGGACCATCTTGAGGAACTTCTCCTCAGTGAATGTAACCCGACAATCGAGGATACTCAGCGGATCTGCGATGCAGCGACCACTGTAGGTCTGAGGAGACTTGGGTTCGCCAACAACGGGCTCTCACGGGAGAGCTTGGAACATGTTGCGCGCTACTTGAAGGCTGGAAAATGCGAGGGTCTTGACTTAGGCGGAAATCCGATTCGGGATCACCTTGACTTGATCACATCTGCTGTCTCTGAAGTCCACCCGCTCTATGCGCTGAGTCTGGCTGATTGCTCGCTCACGCCCACTGCGGTCTATCCGTTGCTGCAGGAGCTGGCATGCTTGCCTGATCTTCGCTTTGTAGATTTCTCACACAACCCGGACCTGTTCACCGTCAAGCCCGACGCATTGCCAACCTTTAGGCGCTTCCTTCCGAAAATGCCTGCGCTCAAACGGATTCATCTCGCTGATGTGAACCTGTCACCTGATCAGACTATCGCGTTAGCCGAGGTTCTGCCGGAGTGCCCGAGCCTCTGCCATCTCAACATCCTGGAGAATCCCCTGATCACGGCCCTGGCTTCGGCAACTGACCCTGCGACCCAGGAGGAAGCGTGCGCGGTTTATGCCTCACTGATGGCAGCGGTGCGCGTGTCCCGCACCATTATCGCTGTTGACATTGAAGTTCCAACTGCGGAGAACAATGAAGTTGTCAAGGCTCTGGCATCTCAGATCGTTGCCTACTCTCTTCAGAACCTTGAACAAGGTGCTATGGCGGTCGAGCTTTCGGACTCTTTTGATATTTCGGCTACACGCTCAACCGTGCATGTTCCGGAGATCTTACAGCATATCGTTGGCCATGGTGCCGGAGAAGAAGCCGTTGAAGAGGACGATGAGCCGGCGCCTGATGAAGACTACGTGATCGGTGGTACCGGCGTGGTCAAAGCATTGGGTGTCTGCCTTGGTAATCTCGACCGTTCCCTGCCAGGGGACCAATCTGGCCCTCCCAGTGGCACAGCGACGCCTCGACACCGGAAATCTCGGTCCTTCGTGACTAGAAAACCTCGGGACATGTCTAAAAACCTCCTGGAATCTGCACGCAACATTCGGACCCGTATTCAGTCGGCCCTCGTACGTGAAGATCGGGCTGGCAATGACAACAATTACAGTAAGATTTGTACCTTCCCACCGTTCCGCAACCCGCACTAACTTTATTTTCTCACTAGGGCGTCTCCAGTTCCTGGACTTCACCTTGCAGAGAATGATTCAGCGATTCGAAGACGAATATCCTGAGACGCGGATTGTACCGCAGGCGATTCCATACAGTTTCCCCGAAACCAGCTCACAAAACTCCGGCGAAGATGGATGGGGAGCGCCCGCTGGCGACGGCACACCGCCCAATGCCGCGAACGGCGACGGCGAGGCCGCCGCGGACGACGAGGATGATCACCAGTACGCAGTCCGCCTCTCCCGGGCGAGCTCGATCACCTCCCTGCATTCGCGCGCCATGACCCACGAGGAAGGCCACGTGCACCGCCTGGGCCAGAATCTGCGGCGGGATTTCCTCGGCCCGTCCTTTGACGCGACGGACGATGACCCGTCGTCTCTAACATTCGACGAATCCCATATCGCGGCTCTGCGGGACAAGCTCGACCGCCTGCACGTGGAGCAAATGCGCTCGAACTTTGAGAGTGTGAACGCCGCCAAGACATTCAAGGATCTCGGCACCACGGTGGACGAGCTCTGGGCGGCGCAAAAACAGGATTCCGAGACCTTCGAGAAGTTCCGCCAGAGCCAGATCGCCGCGCAGTTCAACAGCGGCAAGAAGAGATCTTCGTCTCCTTTGCCCGGTTCGTTTCAACGGACGAATCAGGCCCCCGAGCCTGATCATTCACCACCCTGTTAAGACAGGGTGTATTATGTAACTGGACCCTTATATCTCCAACGACTATTGCCTCGTTGGGGGTGGGTATTCTCTTGTCTTTATGTTGGCCATCTGAGTTTAACCAATTTCGTCATGGGAGTCGGGTAGCCAGCCATTTCTTTGTAAAACTGTGCATTTTGGGATTTGGATCATGGGAGGGGACTTTAGCACAGCGATGTATATATTCAATTTTTCTTAATTCCAAGTGGTCTCATGTTGACTTGTAATTTATGGTAGCGCGTCCATCGAGAATGGGCTATTTTGGACTTTGACAGTGGTTATTATATAATTCGTATCCTCTTCCTAGTGGTTATATCACTGGAATGTTTTACTGCGAGTCCTGCCTGCTCGCCTGGGACAGGTGCTGCTGCTTTTGTAGAAGCAGTATATAAGTATTTTTGTGTTTCTACGCACTCGCTGATTACTTGATAAACACACCAACTACTCGGCTGCTCTTAGATTTTACTGTACTGGGGGTCCACTTCGCAATTCTAGAACAGCCTCTACTTTGAATGTAATCAGTTTCTCCATAACTAGCGCCATGCTTCTAAACTATATACATACTAGAACGCAACAGTATAAGCTAATAGGCTGTCATGTCTAGAAGGGCGTTTAAAAAAAAAAAGGAGTCTGTACCCTGCAAGGCGGATAAGACTTCCGGAGCACAAAATCCACTGCGGTTGCCGAGGGAAGCTTTCCCTGACTGATCGGACCCACTGACCTGGCCGCCGCGTCCGATCTTTGAGGATCTGCTTCTACACCATACGCTGTACTACGCCTACATACGTGTTCAGGCATCATACTTCAGATATGTGGTCTGTATGTTCAGTACCAACTGAATGTCCGTAGTCCGTAGTCCGTAGTCCGTAGTCCGTAGTCCGTAGTCCCGATGAGCCCCTACCACCTCAACCCCGCAAAAGTCCTCCGTAGCCAACCCCTCATACATTGACTGATATGTGAATCTCTGTAATTTGACCTACTGCATTGGAATGCTGTAAGCCCAATCTATCCTGGTGCCGTACACTCACTGATCGCCCACTGAACAACGTAGAACTATCATGATCGCCCTAGTTCAAGAATCCCTCGATGTATCGTGACATGAGCTTCGCGACGTCATCAACCTAGAAAAGCAGATGAAACTGAAACAAATGAATTGTCAGTAAAGGTATCAGTTGTCCGGGGCTTCTGTGAAGCTCCACAGGATCGGATAGGACGCCGAATGGGTGATATCGGCAAACTCAGTGGCCATCAGTGAAGCGATGCGAAGAACACTGGTGTTCAATGTCCTGTTCTGGGGTGGGGGACAAAAGCTTAAATATTTGTTTGCTTTCCCTCCTTGTCTCACCGGTTTTTGGGAAAAATCATAGATGAAACATTGTTGGATACACGAGTTCCAAAAATAATCCCAAACTGTATCAACGAGCCTAGAAGTTATAAGCTGTATTACGACAATAAGACAAGTATGAGACATATAACGGGACGTCCACATGCAGGACATGAAGCTTGACAGAAAGCGACTGAGGAATGTGTAGCACAATTTAACTCTGTAGTTTATGTGCACAACTCAATTTAGGGGGGGGCGGGGGCCCAATTGACGTGAAATAGATTATGCTCATTGGAAAAAGAATTGAAAAAAAAAATGAAACCATGGCTAAATCATGACACCATGTGGATATATTTCTCTGCTGTCAGCTTCTAGAAACCCATAGAGTACGCAAAATAAACCTACGCGTTGCCGATCAGATCCGCAGCCTTCTCGGCTAGCGCATAGAGCACGGCCTGATAATGACCGGCCAAGGACAAGGGCAAGACGCTGGCATCGACCACCCGCAATCTCTCGACTCCATAGACCCGCAGCTGGGTATCGACCACTTTGCCCATCGCTGCGGAGCCTGCTGGATGATAGAAGGTGGCTCCGCCGCGCTTGACGACCTCGTCGATTTCCGCATCGGTCGAGGTGGCGCTCAGAGGTCCCAGGCCCGGCCGCGGGACTTCCTCGACCACCATCTCCTGTCCCTCTGGCGTGTCACGGAGCAAACCTGTCACCTGCCGAATGCCCGCCCGCAGGATGGCACGATCCACTTCGGTGCCGTAGTAATTGGGATCGACCAGGGGCGCGGCATGCGGATCAGCCGAGGCCAGGGTGATGCTGCCGCGCGAGGTGGGGACCACCCCCAGAACCGCGGAGGCGATGTGGGTGCCATCCATGGGGATGTCGACGCCGGCTACCGCCGCCCCCGCGGGCGCGTACACGACCAAGGTCTCAACGTGACAGAAATCGGGCGCCAGGTAGGGATGGTGCTCGATCTCGGCCGCACTGATTCCATCCGCCTGCAGGGCTCGCATCAACTCCGCCCGCGGCGTCGGCTGCACCGTTGCGACCCAATCACAGGGAAGCCCTAACCCATAGGCCGGCTTCTGCCAGAGGGGCGTTCCAATGGACAGGCCCTTCTCAGGGTGTCGTAGCTTCCACCACTGGTTCAGAGAGAAATGGTCGTGAAAATTGCGGCCCACCTCGGGTGCGTCCACCTGGACGGGAATGTGATGTTTGGTTAGCTCTTCGCGGGGCCCTATGCCCGATAGCATCAACACTTGAGGGGTCCGACAGGCGCCGGCGGAGATGACCACTTCCTGTGCAGCGTGGAAGGTGGTCCCGTCGGGGAGCTCAACACCGGTTGCGAGCTTGATGTTGTTGCCGTCTTCTTCAGCGAGTAAGACCCGCTTAACCAAGGTCTCGGTTCGAACGGTGATGTTGGATTTCTGAGAGACCTGGTAGGCCTCACTGGCAAGCTGGCGTTGACCATCGCGCCAATTTTCGGTCAGCGCAGCCAATCCTAGCGGGTGACCAGCATTGCCGTCAGCGATGGGCTCTACCCCCAAACGGCTCCACGCGGCTAGCAGAGGGTCACGGAGGGGATATTTGCGGGCAAGACTGCTGGAGGCAACAGTGGCGTTATGGATAGGACCTGATTGGCCATGGATGGTGGGATCAGCGTTGGGATCCCAGTGCGTCTCCGAACGCTTGAAGTAAGGAAGAAGGCCCTCATAGCTCCAACTCTCATCGTTGACCAGCTGTGCCCAAAGGTTGTAGTCAGCCGCATTTCCACGAGTCCAGGTTCCATAGTTAGTGGCGGTGCCACCTCCTAAGGCTTTGCCAGCAGCATTATAGCACTGCCGGCCGTCTAAGTGGCGCTGGGGTATAGTTTGATATGCCCAGTCTAGTGGGGAGAGGTGAGCACCAAAGCAAGCAAGCGGTGCGCTGGTTAAAGGATGACCAACAACATTCGAACCGGCTTCCAGAAGAAGGATCGTACGCGAGGGGTGTTGCTCAGCAAGGCGACCGGCCAGGGCCGAGCCGGTGAGACCACCACCCACGATAATGTAGTCGTACGTAGCCATGGTCGGTTTATTGATTGGAGACGCTGGCGATACTGATAGTACTGATGATACTGATGGTACTGATGGTACTGATGGTACTGGCGATAAAAGGCACGAGAAGAAGAAAGAGGACCGAACTGAGGATGAAGATAAGAACAAGAATCACATTCAAAAGGATGAGAGGAGGGTGCTATTTATGATTTCATCATTGGCATGAGCTGTGTAATCGAGCACAGAGACCTAGTTTGGTTACCTACAGCAGTTAACTAGTCGATCTAGTCACATAGTATCAGAGCGGAGACAAAAAGAAGACACAGAACCCGGTTTGTAGTGATCATCATCATCCTTAGAATGGTCTGGGCCTTTCTTTAGCTCGACCTTGGGTAAGCTCACCGCAGCAAACTCATCATGAATCACAGGGAAGCCTGCCCACTTTGTCCCTGTTGGGAGAATATCTGGGCTGTATGGCACCAGGCCTTGAGTACTGACGGCGGGCCCCGGGGCAGGATGATTAGATTAGGTTGCTAGGCCCAGGATTAATTGGGAGCGGTGTTGGTTTGGGGCCCCCCCTATAGTATAGAGTTGACTGCGGTGAGTTCACTGCCGCATTATGGGGGTTTTGTGGATTACAGTGCCGATATTTTCACTCGGCGCCTGCTTACATGAATTGGCTGAAAGCGGACAGAGCTTTGACCTGCATAATTGGCTTCAGTGTTATGCTTTCGATGTTGCTTGGCAAAATTACGTTCGGTAGCGATTCGGTAAGATGACCCTTCCCTTTGTTCTCCGTTTTTCCCTCGTTGGGCCCTTGAACTTGCTCCGTCATATCCGTGATTGAAAATGAGAAGAGAAAAGACTGACCACAACTTTGCACCACGGAATTGCCATGGCGGAGGAAATTGCTGCCTGAAGGCACGCAGCTTGGGAAGTATTTCGTCCCCGAAGGATCCGAGGGATTCATCCGTACTCGGGATCAACGCGTGGCTGGCCCATTGTGACGAGAGGACCTTTTTCGACGCCCACTCATTCTGGCCGGAGCGGTTGTTGGAGGCATAAGCTAGGTCAGAGAGGCTACTCAGACTAAGAACAAAGTGTATGTGTCTGTGCGTGAGCTGCTAAGCTGTCAGTCTGGAAAGAATGATCAAGTTTGAAGTACAGTACTAATGGAGATGTGCCTCCGTCCCAAATGCAGTGCGGTCTAGGCTCTCGCACCTGTCTGGGGAAGCACATCGTCCTCCCTAAAATGTCCAAGCTCATCCCTTAGCTCCTACTAATTAGTATAGTCCATAGTTATGAGTAGCCTAGTGCATGAATTCAACTGAAGATATTTAGTAGTTGAAACAATATTCAGGTTATAGATAGGCTTGTAGTTCTCGGAAGTCGAGTCGGACCGAACCCCATCCTCGGCCCAGGGAAATCCGGGGCAAGACCCGCTCACGCTTGATTCGGCCCTTTCACATGTCATGACAACAACCAACCTTGCCTACAATTCGACTTCTCCCTGTCCCTGTTCTTCTTCTTCTTCTTCTTCTTCTTCTGCTTCTTCTCTTCTCCCTACTAGAACCTTACCCCACTTTCTTACCTACTACCATATTCTCATTTCCCTCATTGTTCTCTCCATCCGGTGTCATGCTTCCCTTATTGTCGTCAACCCTGGCTAGCTACGGTAGATAACTGATCTATCTACCTACTTCCCAGCCGCCGCCATGGCCGTCCAGTCCAAGCTCCTCTCCCTGCCGCCCGAGCGCTGGTCCCTTCCCTTACGCCCACTCCTCTCCAAACTCACCTCCCTCTACCTCCGCCACCGCAAGCAGATCTCCCGAACCGTCTATTTAGCCCTCTTCGCTGCCCTCGCCAAACGCATCCACAATGCCATCTCCGAGCAGAAAGCCGCCTCCCAGCAACAGGCGGAGTTGCGGAGCAAGCGGCCCGGGACCAGCAGTCTCGGCGACGGCGCCAACGCCAACGGCAGCGGCGATATACCCCGCAAGAAAGTCGAGGTGAATCGCGAGTTTCTCCGGAATCTGCTGCGACTGCTCAAGATCGTGATCCCGGGGTGGAGGAGTAAGGAGCTACGGTTGCTGTTCGGCCACAGTGTGTTTCTGGTGCTGAGAACATTGCTGAGTCTGTATGTCGCCGAGTTAGACGGGCGGTTGGTGAGCAACCTCGTAAGGGGCAAGGGGAAGGACTTTTTGTTGGGGTTGGTGTGGTGGATGATGGTCGCGGTGCCGGCAACGTTCACGAACTCGATGGTGAGTGCAGTCATGATTGAGGCTTAGACCAAGGAAAGGGACCACTCACTGACCTCATCGCCAGCTGTCATACCACCAATGCAAATTAGCCCTGAGTTATCGCAAGCGTCTCACGGACTACATCCACGATAAATACCTCTCGAACATGACCTTCTACGCCATCTCCGCCCTGGACGATCGGGTCAAGAACCCGGACCAGCTTATCACGGTCGACGTGTCCCGCTTCTCCGATAGTCTGGCGGAGCTGTACTCGAACCTGGCTAAGCCCGTCCTCGACATGGCCATCTATAACTACTCGCTCTCCAAGAGCGTCGGCGGCGAGGGACTCTTCCTCATGGGTCTGTTGGTGCAGGTCTCGGCCAACGTCATGCGGGCCCTGACGCCGCCCTTCGGGAAATATGTGGCGGACGAAGCTCGTCTGGAAGGAGAGTTCCGGTTCCTGCACTCACGCCTGATTGACTACAGCGAGGAGATCGCGTTTTACCATGGCCACGAAGCAGAGAAGGACACTCTCGACAAGGGCTATTTCACCCTCATTAAGCACGTGAATCGCATCCTGCGGAGACGGCTCTACCACGGCTTCATGGAAGATTTCGTGATCAAGTACTTCTGGGGCGCTCTGGGCCTTATTCTGTGCAGCATTCCCGTTTTTTTCAAGATCCCCGGCCAAGTCACCCAGACCATGGGTGATCGGACCGAAAGTAAGCCTGCCTCCTCCAGATCCCCCGTAACCGATTACGTAGAACCATCTAACACATGCGGACCAACAGGCTTCGTCACCAACCGCCGCATGCTCCTCTCCTCCTCCGACGCCTTCGGCCGCCTCATGTTCTCTTACAAGGAAATCTCCGAGCTCGCCGGCCACACCGCCCGCGTCTCGACCCTCCTCGAGGTCATGGATGACCTGCAATCGGGCCACTTCGAGAAGAAACTGGTCTCATCCGCGACAGACTCGACCTCGGCGCACGCCGCGACCCTAGCCTCCCGGGGCACCGTCACCGAGACCGCAGACGCGATCGAATTCCGCGACGTACCCATCGTCTCCCCGAACGGCGACATCCTGGTGCGCGCCCTATCCTTCGCCGTACGACCCGGAGACCACCTGCTGATCGTCGGCCCCAACGGGTGCGGGAAATCCTCGCTGTTCCGCATCCTCGGCGGCCTGTGGCCCGTGTACGGCGGCACGGTGCGCAAACCCCCGCCGGACCAGATCTTCTACATCCCGCAGCGGCCGTACCTGTCGCGGGGCACGCTGCGGCAGCAGGTGATCTACCCGGACAGCCTGCGCGACATGCGGGCCAAGGGCGTCACGGACGAGGACCTGCACGCGATCCTGGCGGTCGTCGAGATCGCGGGCGTCGTCGACCGCCCCGGCGGCTGGGACGCCGAGGAGGAGTGGCGCGACGTCCTCTCCGGCGGGTTGCAGCAGCGTATCGCCATGGCCCGCCTCTTCTATCACCGGCCCCAGTACGCCATCCTCGACGAGTGCACCTCCTCCGTCACCCTCGAGGTCGAGCGCATCATGTACGAGACCGCCAAGCGTCTGGGTATCACCCTCATGACCGTCTCCCACCGCCGCAGTCTCTGGAAGTACCACCGTCGCATCCTGCAGTTCGACGGCCAGGGCGGCTACATCTTCACCAAGCTGGATTGGGAGCGGCGGTTGAAGTTGGAGGAGTATGTTTGACCCTGTCCCCCCATCATCCCCAAAGATCTTAACTAATCATCATGTGTGGAACAGTGAGAAAGAAGACCTGGAGCTTCATCTCCGAGCCGTTCCGGAATTGCAGAAGCGCATGGCCGAGCTAACCGCCTGAGGGATTGAGGCAGAGGCTTTTATATATACGGAGTGTCGTTATAGAGTTTTCTCGGGTCGATTTTCTTTCCCCTTGCCTGACTTTACCTCTGTAGCCTCTTTTACACCGATCTCCCTCACGTACTTAAATCTTCGTTGATAGCATCGATCGATCATGTAGGAATTGTGCCAAAGAGACATGACTTGAACAAAGATCTACACCAAGGAATGGAACCGATGGAAGTAAAGCTCATGAATATAAAACAGGCGCAGCGGTATTGACAAGACAACTATGCAAGGAGCGAAAAAGATAAGCACATACAAAAGAAGCTCTCTTTCCTCACTTCCTTAACCCCCCGCCTCCTCCTCCCCCGCCCTATTTCAATCACTCAAACCGGATCGAGGCCGTGAAGTTTTGTCACGAATTAATCCTCGACAACAAGCGGCTCGATGTTCCAGATACTCTCGGCATACTCGCTGATGACCCGGTCGGTCGAGAAGAAGCCCATGCGCGCCACGCTGATGATGGACTTGGAGAGCCATTCCTCGCGGTTGCGGAAGGACTCATCCACCAGGTCTTGCGTAGTGATGTACGAGTTGAAATCGTCCGAAACCAGGTAGTAGTCGCCGTGCTCGACGATCGAGGCCAGCAGCGCCGAGAAGCTGTTCACGTCCCCGAACATCCCGCCGCGGATCGCCTCAAAGACCTTGGCCAGGTGGGGGTCCAGCTGGAAGTTGCCGTAGAGGTGCCGGTGCCGGAGCTCCTCGACATCCTCAGCGAGGTTGCCGAACAGGAAGATGTTCTGCTCGCCGATTTCCCGCGTGATCTCGATCTGCACCCAGAGTTAGCATCATCATCATCATCCTTGTCATTGCCACCGTAAAAGAAAACAAGGGATGGTTTCCATACATTAGCCCCGTCGCAGGTACCAATGATCAAGCCGCCGTTCATGACGAACTTCATGTTACTAGTTCCACTTCCTTCCGTACCCGCCGTCGAGATGTGCTCGCTGATGTCCGAAGCAGGACAGATGATCTCTGCCTTGCTAACGTTGTAATCCGCCACGAAGATGACTTTCAGAAGATCGCCAACGTCGGGATCTTCGTTGACAACCGAGGCGACCTTGTTGATCAGGTGGATGACGGTCTTCGCCATCCAGTAGCCCGGAGCGGCCTTACCACCGAAGATCGATACGCGTGGCAACACCTTCTTCTTTTCCTCGGCGGACATGGACTTGATTTTCAGGTATCGGTGAATGACTCCGAAGATATTGAGCTGCTGTCGTTTGTACTCGTGGATACGCTTGACCTGAATGTCGAACAATGCGTTCGGGTTCACGCTGTACCCGGTTGTCTCCTTGATGTGTTTTGCCAGACGGAGCTTGTTGGCAGTCTTGATCTCTTCCCACTCTTTCTGGAAGGCCTTGTCATCGGCAAATGCCTCCAGTTGGTCCAAAAGGGTCAAATCGGTCAAGAAATCGTAGCCTCCCAATCTAGAAGCTATCAAGTCAGAGAGGCGAGGATTTGCCTGGTGCAGCCAACGACGCGGAGTGACGCCATTAGTGACATTGGTGAACTTGTCAGGGCCATAGATGGTCACAAAGTCCTTGAATAGAGTCGTTCGCAGAAGGTCTGAATGCAGTTCTGCGACTCCGTTCACTTTGTGGGATCCGATAATAGCAATATATGCCATCCTCACCATCTTAGGGTGGGACTCTTCGATGATCGACACCCGAGACAGCATTTCTCTGTCCTCCGGGAAATTCTTCTCCACAAACTGCAAGAAATACAAGTTGATATCGAAGATGATCTGCATGTGCCGTGGCAAAAGGCTCTGCACCAGGGGGACAGACCATTTCTCTAGAGCCTCTGGTAGTACGGTGTGGTTTGTGTAACCGAATGTCTTGGTGACGATACCCCAGGCCTCGTCCCACTCCAAGCCCTCCTGGTCAATCAGGATGCGCTGCAGCTCGACAACAGCCAACGTTGGATGTGTGTCGTTAAGCTGGATGGCAACTTGGTCGGGGAACTCGCTCCAGGATCTCTTTGTCTTCTTGAATCTTCGAATAATGTCGAACAAGGAGGCGGCACACCAGAAGTACTGCTGCTTCAGTCTGAGCTCCTTACCGCGGTCCAGGCTGTCGTTAGGGTATAGCACTGCTGAGATGGTTTCTGCGCGTTGCTGCTCCGCGACTGCACTCTCATAGTCGCCTGCATTGAATTTCTGGAAGTTGAACTCTCCGCTAGAAGCCTTGGCCGACCACAGTCGTAGATTGTTTGTCGTGCGAGTGCCGTATCCGGGGACGGGAACATCGTATGCCACGGCCTGGACAACTTCGCCGTCCTGCCACGAATTCACGGTCTTGCCGTTCTCATCTTGATACTTCCGAACCCAACCGTAGAATTGGACGTCAACAGTGATTTCATGCCGAGGGAACTCCCACGGGTTGAAATCGAGCCAATAGTCAGGAACCTCCATCTGATATCCATCGACAATCTCCTGTTTGAAGATACCATATCTGTATCGAAGGCCGTAGCCCCATGCAGGGTAGTTGAGTGTGGCCATACTGTCAAGGAAACAAGCAGCCAAGCGTCCAAGACCTCCATTACCCAGGGCAGCATCATGCTCCTGGCTGATCACATCTTCGATGCGGAACCCAAGGTCCTTCAGACCCTCTGCGGCACATCGCATATGACATTAGCAAGGGCACGTGCAGTCGCGATCGCGGCTTGAGCGCTTACCTCGAGCAGCATCCTTCAAGCCAACGTTAAGCATTGCATTATCCAAGGCTCTTCCCATCAAGAATTCGAGAGATAGATCTGTTAATGAAGTATAAGCAAGCGGTCCGCCTATTGAGGGGAACTACTTGGCTCACGTACAGTACACCCGCTTCTGATCTGCAGAAGCCTGCCGCTGCTGGGTCTTGTTCCACTCGATAATCAAGCGGTCCCTGAAAGCCAAGGCAGTTCCGGAATATGCAGCCCTGGACGACTATGAGATTCTCTTTTGGCGCCAGGGAGCGGGACGGAGGAACCAACAATTCATCGCAGTTGTAGAGCGAGCGAGCCAATGTAGTTTCAATGTGGCGAACCAGCTCATTCTGTCATAGCTATTAGCACGTGAAGACATCGCCAATCATTTGTCTATAGCCTACCTCAAAGTCTTCCTTGCTGGTGAAGCCATTGACAGACTAGTCAGCGAGTGATGTTAGCCACGGATCTCTGAGGGGTGTAGTACACATGCTGTGAGCTTACGTGTTTCTTCCACCTAAGAGATTGTACAGGTTAGTTCAGTGGACTTCCAATAGCTGATTGTAAATGCGCCTGAGCTCTCTGGGGAAGCGGCCGCCAGGATCTCTGGCGTAACCGAAGAAGAGGGGTCGAACCGGGTACTCACGCCTCTCTCAGGTGCTCAGGGATGCTAGCCTCGACACTCTTGATTTCTGCTGGGCCAAAGCCGGTGAAAGTACGTCTGTGCTTGGGGCGGCTGAAGCTGGGGCCAACAGGGCCTTGAAGCTCGGAGACGGGAGCTCCAACGGAGGGCTTCCTTTCGCGGCGACTTTCAGCCATTATGACAGTCGAACTGTGAAAGGTTCGGTATCTAGAAGGTCGCTGAGAGTAATTGAGACTGGGAAGCTGATGGCAGTTGAGAGACGTGCACCCAAGGAATCAGACTCTGTGGAATCCAAGGTTATCACACCAAAAGAAAGCGAAAGGAAGAGTCCTTCACTGGAGATGGGGGGAAGGAAGCGGAGTACGAGGGAGGAGGAGGGGACGAACGAAGGGAAGGAAGGCAGAGAGCGGGTAGACGAACCCCGACTTAAGAAGGATGCGAGATGCGGGAGCTCGAGGAAGCGGGATCCTACGCACCGCACCGCGTGACAGGGAGCTCTCGATTGAATTGAGGTTCCAGGATTGAAGCAAGGCAGGGAAAGAGGGTGACGAGGGGATCAGAGGGGTTGATCGAATCGCTGACAGGACTATACTGAGGGGGAACCAGGGATCCGATCATACGTTGGCACGTTGACTGGGCCGTTCCCCATGCACGTTGACCGTATGTCTAGACCCTGGTAGAACCGGGCTTGCATAGTGCCAGATGGCGTGGGAACTAATTGCACGACGGATGGCTCGGAATCGGGAGGAAGGCCTCTTAGTCTCATAAATTGAGTAGGTAGGTATATTCTGGGATACTAGCAAGAGATGGTTGGGTCAGCTCATTGGTCAATGACACCATCATCGACTGATGTCGGTGATAGTGATGACGATGAAGCGGTTGGGTTGAGGGTGAGACATTGAATATGGGACGAGAAAGTTGCAGGGCTGGCCGATAAGATAGAGAGATAGCGGTTCAGTTTGCTGGCCGCGATGGCAGTGATGCCGTCACGGGTCAGTCGGTGTCTGTGCTTTGCGGTGCTGAGCGCTGAGCTGCGAGCTGCAGCTGCAGCCGCCAATTCCCCGGACAGCCGCTATGACGCACCTCCACTGCATTCCGCGGGGATCAGACAATCATGAACGAATAATTTATCTCGGTTGTTCCTGTTTGTTTGAGAGTACAGATGGGAGCAAATGGGAGCAGAAGAGAGCATGCAAGAGCATGACTGAGGAGATTGAGGCGTGAGATCAATGCCTTCATTGGGAGGGAGTACTGTAAGTAGTACATGTAGTACATAGATCGGGGATGATCATCAGTCAGTCAGTGGTGGTCTCAGCTTAGCTTTTGGTCCAACTGCAAACATCTCCCCCTCCCGCCCTCCCTGCCACTCCACCCCAAACCTCAACCCCGCACTTCCAACTCTACTCACAACTCACAAGGGAAAGCTGTCTCGGTCAGATAATTGAGAACAGACCTCGATCATTGTTGACCCTCCTGCAAGGTCCTCCATTCCTCATGACCTTCCCCCGCTTTGCTACGTTTGCCAAAATCACTGCCCAGCTGCACTTCCAACAAGAGACATAGAAAATCCACGTGATTTAGATTACATGTATATAGTCGCTACCAATGATTGTGAGATGTGATTGAAG